CCCTATCTCGCCTATTCCTTATTGACTTCCATAGAGTACTCTGTTCACCTATTCTTTCCAAAACCTCTTCATTTCTAACCTTCTCTATCCACGGTATCCTCATCATTCACCTCTAACACCACATTTCGAACGCTTCTAACCTTTTCTTTTCCGCACCGCCTACCGTCTATGTTTCCCACCCGTATAGCGCCGCGCTCCAAACATACACCCTCAACAATATTCTTCGAATTTCTAAATTAACCGCGAACATAGAAGTGACTTCTTTTTATTGAAGGCAGCTTGACGCTGTGCTATCCTCTCCTACTACTCCTTCCACCCTGACTTCCAAGATACCTAAAATCAGCCACTTCTAATTTTTCGTCTCCTATCTTCATATTAGCTTTTCCCTACTTTTGCTCCCCTTGCATACCAGTATTTTTATTTTACTTTTATTTATTTTCATACAGTACTGTTCTGTTAATACGGTTTCCATTTTATCTAAAGCTATCTCTAACCTCTCCTTGCTAGACGCTAATGTTATTGTTATGAAGGTAATAGATAATAGTTTCAACAATATTATATTCTTTTATTCTTTTTTATACCCAATCCCCCAGATTGCGTAAGGTCAACTACCCACCCGGGCCGAGATGACCTGTCACTTCATAACTGTTGTCTTTTCCTACCGTTACAATACTCAACTTTTACCTAAGAATGCTTTTATTTGATTGCTTAGGATCATAAGGCCGCGGGTTATGGCACGAAAAGACAACACGTTGTCGTCGTCCTGTCCTTTATTTGCTTTACAGGAATGTGTACCTACCTTAAAAACATTTCTTTGATCGAAAACTATGCCAAGAGATTATTATTAATGTGTAATTGCTTTTTCATTGCCTATTTCATGTCGTATCTTTCACTGGGTGTGTTTTAAATATTTTCCTTTTTCCACAGAAACAAGAAAAGTACGTTTATTAGTTAGTGCACTACTTCACATGAAAAGGTATCGTCTAGCAAAACAATTGTTGTAGGCTCTAAGTTAATTGCGAAAATTTACACTTTCAGATTTTTCGTTTATATACAGAGTGTCTCAAGCTGACCACTCAGTAGAATAATTTGGAAATTCGATTTGATTCTTGAAAATTTGGACAGTCGGTTTTTGGGTATGCTTTCCTCAATTAAAATTACAACATTAATGTAGCATTTCCGACTGTACTGAAAGTTGACATCAACATCGTTATTTTAAATGGAACACCCTGTATATTATGCTGATTAAGGCTTTCCTACTTCTAAAATATACCCTTTTTGAGATATTAATTTTCTATAAAAAAAGTAGCGCAGAGCTAGCGAAAAATCATGCTTATTTTATAAAAAGAATGTTGGAACAACATATATGTATTCTCAGGAGAGGTAGCTGTACTCTCAAACCCGTCCATACTTTCAAAGTGGGTTACTTACATACAGGGTGTGAGAGATTTAATGACAAATTTAGTTAACTTTCTTTAACATCTTCTGCAGTTTTCAAATTATTTACTGATCTTTGTTAAAGTAGGTAAAATCGTTTAATTTTTTCGGAGATAACTTGGCAGAACATCAAAACATATGATACAAGTTAATTATATAAACCATTTTGACATTTAATAGTGCTTACATCAAAAATTAATGTGGAAATTTTAATTTTTTACCCACTATAAACTACCTCAGGTTAATAAAGGAAAATTTGTTGCTGGTGTCACACCCCCGCCGGGAATCGAACCCGGGACCTTTGGCTGTACGTACCAATGCTTTGACCAGCGGTTTTATATTAACCACTACTAGGTCTTCCCCCCTATCAGTCACTGTAAGCTCGAAACTGTTAGCGCCATTTCTCCGAGTGGTTAAAATTCACTTTGGTGAACAATTTGTTTAATCACTTTCTTTGCGTTAAGAATTGTTTGTAAATAGGTATGCAACACATCGTACACTTCAGCTTAAGAAATTGCTGATACTAACTACGTAACACTACTTTGCCCTGTACTGAGAGCAGAGCCGGACTGAAGATTTTTAGAAGGGAAAGTGCACAAATTTTAACAGTAACCGTTTTTAAATACATTTAAGAAGTTAGGAGGAACAATTAATTCTTCTAAAAAAAATTTTTAACGTTTCTTTATAAATGATATTTTTATAGTTTGTTTTTTTTATAACAACATTTGAAAACTATTATAAAAATTATTAAGTGTTTTTTATTTCTCTTTTTGTTACACATTGTGTGAGTCATTTGGCCCGGGAGGCATTTGGCCCTGACTGAGACCACTCATAATTTCCTTTATATATAATATTAGGGATGTTTCCGAGGAGCAGTTGTGAATTAGTTGAGATACAGTTAGGGTTACCACCTTTTCATTCTTTACATAAAGTATTTTTCGACTAAAAGGTTAAAAAAAAGTACTCAGCATAAAAATATAGTACCTTATTTTTTGTTTTTAAAAACATTTTTTGTTACACCTAGCAGCCACTAACAAATTGTTGTCGCTCTTAAATACATTGATAGCCTCTAAACATGGCAAACAAAGATTTAAGTAAACTAAAAGTTCATTTGTAATTAGTTTTAATGAAGCTTTATTCCTGTCGTCCCGCCACTTTGCGTTCATAACAGAGAATACTCTTTCTGTAAATGCTGAAGTGGCTGGAACGGACAGCAAAAGTGACACTACTTTGAACAGATTTGGGAAATCAGGTTGTTCCGTAAATATGGCTTGCCATTTTTCTGCAGTGCATGTTTCTTTGAAAGTGATGCTGCTGTTAGAATTTTTTTTCCCAATTTGATTTAAATGGTTCACTTCATTGTAAAGTGCATCATAATTAATTTTTGTTTCCATATTTATGGTTTCAGTAATTTTAAGAATCACTTCAAAGGACAGAGGGGTGATCAAGTTAAAATGACTTATAAGAGCTAACCAATTGTCATCATTGTAGTTGAACCATTTTTCCAAATAGCATACTGCTTTTTCTATAAACAAATTGAAGTTTTTATACACTCTTGCTTCTATTCCAGGTGAAGATGTTCTATGGATTCGATTTTCCGTAAAACTTGTCTTCTTTTCTTTTAATTAAATCGTTTTTTATATTTGTCATAATATTAAATACATCTAATATTGTAATGGAATTTCCCTGTCAATGAAACTAGCGTTCAGAAACATAGAAACATTCTCAAAAATATTGTATTGTGCAATATTATTGATGTAAAAATTCTCTGAATTTCGAATAATCGCTTACAAAATTACGATGTTTACGTAAGGCCTTAAAGTATTTTTGCGTACTTTATGTGTCTTGTACAATACTTTATAATAAAGTACGGGTGGCAACCCTAGATACAGTCCACTTTATTGTCTCTTCTAACATTCGCATAGTACAAAAATAATCTCATTGCGTTTTTTTCGCAATACCCATGATCGTGTTCAATTATTGAATATTATTTTTATTAATAATAAAAAATTAAAATACGTGTTCAAATAAATAAAATTCAGTAATAAACGATATCAGTTGATAATAATAAATGTATTAATTTCATCGTTCGATATGCTAATTTAGCTGTAAGCATTTGTTTACCGTCCCGGTAAGCTCATCTGTAACAGTTCGAACCATTTTTTTAATTTCATTTTGACATAATGAATTCTTTTACCAGTCTTAACGACCGGCCGAATTTACCACTGCCCTCAAATTTAATTCGGCGCGTTTTGCCAAGCGTTCTGAACACGAATATGAATTTTAATCGCAATAGAAAAATGAAATTTCTTGTTGGTAAACAATATCAATAAAAGAATAATACTTCGGTCTACGGTCTACCTGGTTTTATTATGTTACCTACAATTAACGTTAGGTTTTTTTAATCTTGAAACAGTTCCTGTCTCTATTAAGTTTGTGGGATGCTGGGATGCTTTTATCGGCAAGATAATTTGCAATGTGCTGTGATTACAGATTAGTTAATTGATAATTTTTAAGAAACGTATAAATGAGTGTAACGGATATCATATCATATATTTCATTTTCACTACTATTTGAAGGGTGGATCAGCCAATTGAAGATGTAATACGTCACGCAGTGACCCTTCTGTTTTTAAAATTCACCCCCACGATAACCATCCCTTTTGCATGAATCTGTCTTTCTCTGTTTCATTATGTACAGCAGTCTATTTCAATGACGTCAGACACGTGGAACGAGTGTCGTCATGCGGCTCCTACGCGTTTCATAAGCGGCTGCGTTAATATATATTGGTGTGTGTTTTGTATTTCTATCGCACCTGCAATTCCTGTATCCCACTTATTTAGAGTTCTGTGAGGAGTGCGAATTGCACTCTACATATCATTACTTCAATATACAAAATAACCACCGGTCACCAGATACAGAAAAGAAAGAAAAGGAATGTTACATCATGTAACAACAACGTCATCGAAAATTTATTAATTAATTTGTCCACAATAATTTCATTATTTATTTTCAACACGTACCTATATAATATAAAAATTCCGTTTAATCATAAAATAACAACAATTCCAAATAAATTTGATAATACATAATTTATTTTAAATTAATACTTTGAAAAAGTAATTCGATCAATACACTGTACTGCTTTAATAAAAACTACTGCAAAGGTGATGTAATTTTGTTACTTTTTTTTCTATTTGGTAGAAGCCCCTCATTTACAATAATTAGATCATGTTCTTGGCAGTGCGATCTCGTTCTCGGTGTTCACCTTGCAGATTAAATCTTGGTCAAAAAAAGTGTAGGTTTTACATCAGTGGTGTGTTTAAATATTCTAAACGTACCTTTTATATAAATAAGAAATATGTAGGTAGTTATAAACAATACCTCCAGTGCATTTCGAATATTGTGACGTATTATTCTCGTCGTTCTTTTGTTTCCATCTCTGTCTACGAGTTTTCTCGGTGGCGCGGCGTCCACGACCAACCGAGACCATGGCTACAATCGAACGGTGCTCTGCGTCGAAAAGACCAAAGACGTGTGCGCGCGCCATATTGCAGCAAAAGCGCAACAATGAAAAATTAAACACGGGTTGGAAAACAGTGAAAATGGTGTTTACGTGAATAGCGAAAGATTTTAATAAGTGTTCTTGTTAGTGTTGTGCTTTTTTTGTTTGTTTCTTAAAGTGCAATTATGGCAGCAGTGCATCGCCCCCTGGTTTAGTGAACCTGTTCTGGTGTATTGCACGGATGGGATACTTACCTTCTACTTGATTCACCTGACAGGTAGGTAATATAGAATTGTTATTTGATGACAATATTTTACTGTACCTTAGAATGTAGCTAGTAAACGATGAAACGGTATCGATTTTCTTGGATCTACCTACGTAACTTTGTTCCATTTTTTCAGAAAATTTCAGATTGTATGCAATCTAATTAAATAAAAAACAACTGTGTTTTTTGATATAGGGTCTACAACATTGTCCGTAAATATAAATTTAAAAATGTTCTTTAAGAATCGAGCGATAAAATAAAATAAACACATATTATTAAAACATATCAAATTAAAACGAATAGATAATGTTAATATGTACCTAGGTGGAAGTAAAAGTATCAGAAGAGGTTTTTGAGATCTACAGAATTAGAAGCTAAACAGTTTCTTTATTCAATAATTTATTAACAAAACGAGCGATTATAGGGTTCTCTTACTTTTTTTAAGGGGTGATAGGTACCCAAGTAAGAATCGTCAATCTATAATTTAATCGGGTTTTTTTGTCGAATTATAAGGAAAAATCATACCTGGGTAGGTAATAAGCCCAGGAAAGAGGTTCTTGACTCCAAATTTTGTATAGGTACCTACCTAACACATCAGAAATATTTTTCCAAAGTTGTAGCATTTTAATAGGTACTTTCGTATGTATAATTTAAGGGTAGGTGCCAAGCAAAAAAATGTAAGTTTTTTTTTTTGTCGATGTGCCTAGTATGAACTTTCTTGTTATTTATATGCCCAATAAGGTCCTTTATCAAAAAAATAAGGATTAAACTATGTCGCCATATCCAAATAAATAGGTATATAGGTACATATTTTTAAGTTTTTGAATGAAGAAACCTGCCGCATGGATTAGAAACAATCACCTTTTTTTCGTATAAGAGGTAGATATTTAATGTCTTACAGCACATATTTTTACTAAATATTTTTAGTTTGTACAAACAGACATATAAAAATTAAAAGTACACTTTAAATTACTTACGACATCTTTCGCATGTCTTTCTCTTTTTACGGAAAGAGTAAACACAATTATTAGATTAATGATATGATCATATTCTTATCGATATTAAAAAATAAAGGTATTTGTATTAATACACATATAGGTGTTAAGTACCTAGATATATTACATACATAATTTGTATGTTCAATTACCTTTAATGTTAAACTACCGTAATATAGGTATCTATTTTTTCATATAATTTGTAGGGAAGATAATATGGAAAATGGAAACGACTAAAAGTGTAACAATTTACAATTTATTTATTTTGGGCTTTCGACACTGGTATATTAAGAAAACTGTGGGGTTTTGGTATTCACTGTTCTCTAACTCAAATGGTTTCGGTTCTATTTATCACAAAGAACACAGAAAGTTAAAACTGCTTATCTAATACATTTTTATTAGGTTGTTCGGAAAGTTGTTTCGTTTTTTCCCGACAGAGGATTTAATTGTATTCTTTTGCACCCAACTTCACATTTAAGCCGTATAATTTTTATATGCTTTGAGAGCTCATATAGCAAGGCTTGTGTGTGAAAAATTCCAATTAATTCTACGCAGTAGTTTTTGGTTGGTGCCCTTTTAAATATGGAGAGCGATAAGCAGCATTTTCGACATATCTTACTGTTTTACTACAGAAAGGGTAAAAATGCTGTTCAAGCCAGAAAGAAATTGACTGATGTGTATGGAGAAGGTGTGTTGACAGTACGCCAGTGCCAGAACTGGTTCGCTAAATTTCGATCCTGCAATTTTGATGTCGAAGATGCACCACGTTCGGGAAGGCCGGTTGAAGCTGATAAAGACGCGATAAAAGGCATTAGTTGATGTGAACCGGCGAATAACAACACGTGAGATCGGATTGAGGATTGAGGTTAAATTTATCAAATTCAACAGTTTATGACCACTTGAAAGGCCTGGGATTATCCTCGAAGCTCGATGTATGGGTTCCCTCACAGAGAGAAATCTGTGTCGCCGCATTGACGTCTGCGATTCGCGATTCGCTTCTCAAACGTCACGAAAATGATCCGTTTTTGAAGCGCATCATC